AGGGTTTTTGCTAACTGTGTTTGGTTGATTACATAATTGGAAACAGAATATCTAAGACTGTGACTCTGATGTTTAAAGCAGTTCTAGGCCTAGTTTATCAGTATTTTAAGGGGCAAATTGTGCTTATGATTTTTGGAGGAGCGTATTAAGGGGACCGTCTTCTTTTTATTTTCGATTTTTCGATTTTTCTTGCCGATTTTGATGAAACTCACACCCTTTTATTTGGGCCCCTTCCCATTGCCTGTGGTCGATTTTTTTCGAAATCGCCCGAACAGTTTTTGAATTTTTGTCAAAAAACGGAAAAATGCGAAATTCGCCATTTTGAAAATGCAGCACCTGGGTCAAAGGATTCCGACTTCAGAAACGGCAAGATATTCAATTTTATTTGATTTTTGCACAGAACTACCTTATATCTACAACTTGATCGAGAGCGTTTTTTCGATTTCGACTTCAATTTTTTTTTGTGAATTTTTGAAGTAGGGGACTTCAAGAAAAAAAAAAAGTTAAAAATTTTCTTACATTGACCACTTTTACAAGAAGTACAGGCAAAAACTGCGAAAACGCTCTCGATCAAGTTGCAGATATTTTATTTTTCTAAAAAATGAGCCATAATATGTTAATTTTGGACATATGGTGTGCCCGGAATCCTTTGACCCACCCCTATAGGTGGAGTTTCGAGACATCAGCATTTTACGTTTCTTCATCTTTCCAAGGCTATCTTGATATCAACAAAACAAGGCATAAGATTAGTCTTCCTACACCATAATCCTCTATCATCCACCTGCATTCCGAAGTCTTGCGGACATTGCCAGCACGTAACGGTTTCTCAAAATCTTACGTATAGTGCGGAGTGGTGGCAGTGATCTGGGGGTCTATAGGCCTACATTGACCATTTTTAAAAATTTCTCAAAAATCCAAAAAAAATCATACGGCCATTCTGATTTCATGTTTGAATAGAACTATCTTTCTACTATTATATGCAGAAGCCATTTTTGAGAAGTTGACCTTACTTTTTTCTTGGTGAATATTTTCCGAAGGTGACTATTTTAACACCCTAATAGGAGATTTTGAAAACATATGTCACTTTTACAAGAACCACTTGAAAATATTGCAAATCCTCATGGCAGTATGTAATAGAACTATTATTCAGCTACAAAATGAGCCATAATACTTTAAAATCGGACTGATTATATGTGTGTTATGCGTAAAAATATGACGGACCTAAAAAATGCGATCTTATTCCTTTTTATTATGTTTACATTTTACATGACAAATCATGTACAGAATACTTGTATTTGATATAATTATCTATCATATACCTATTATTGATGCACTAATGGGGTTTTACAACGTATAACATTTGTCGAAAGAATAACTTTTCTCCAGTCGGACGGGTACCAAACACATACTTTTCCCCACGCGGCGGGGCCGTCCTGGACCATGAAAATCGTCTTTTGAAATCTGCGGAATAACTCTACGGGGTCACGTAGCCAAATTTCACTCTCAGACCCTGTGGAAAGACGAAAAACAATTACATGGCGATGTGAAACTATGTATGTAAGGTATATGAGCACATATAGATAATTTTCGTGTACCCCATGACCTTTTGTTTATTTATATTGTTACTTCCGTTTGTTTCTTTGTTTGTTTATTGATTGTTTATTTGTTTTTTTTTTTATTGTTAGTTTGTGTTTTCTAATATTTCTAAAAGTTATGGACACATTTTAACGAGATTTTAACCAAAAGTGAGTTTTAACCTAACTTAGACGCTTATTGCAGTTTGGTGGTGATGCGGACCATAGTTTGGATCCAGGAATTTTTTTTTCTAACTCGAAAAGTTATCAACAGATTTGAATAAAATTTTAACCTGAGGTTTGTCTTAGCCTAATTAATATTCCATTTGGTGGTGATCCTGAATATTTGGCAAAACTACTCCCCATGGGTGGGGGGGGGAGGTTTGCATTTTCGAAATGTTTTGCTCATAGATCAAAGTAACTATGTATGATGAAAACATAAAGAAAAGAAAATGCACCATATGAAAAACATATCATGTTTAGTTATTTATATGGAAAATTTCTTCATTGTCGTTTTTTGGAGGCTTGCCGGATTTTTGAAATTATTCCGAAAAAAAGAAGGTTGGTCTCATCTTATGTGAAATTTGATAAGCTTTCAGAAAATAACCTCATATTTTTATTATCTCTAATCATTGCGTCACAATTGCCGATTTTCTAAGGTAACATCAAAAAAATAATATTTCGGTCGACATCGAAAATCGCTGCTACCACCAAAAAAATAACGGGCCTTGAAATTTTCAGGGGAGAACCGGGGGCCTAGAAACTCCTTGAAAATGCATTAAAGTCAATTTCGGCAAGAGGGGCGAAAATTGCCGAAAAATCAGCAGACGGTCCCCTTAATGCAGTGGGTCTGGATGCTTCAAGCCATCACTTGGCCCAAAATATGGTCATTAGGTTCATGTGAGAGGACATTCTGCTGAATGTGTAGCTTGTGTGCAGTGACTAGACTCCATGCCTTCCCTTGACAATATTATTTTCTTTCTTTGTGCATAAGTGTTTTTAGCTTTTATGCCATATTCCAATGTCTATATTTGTCATTTGATTTGCTTTATCCAGATGGTAACTGAAGGTTTTCCTTGCACAGACTTCCTATCATCTCTGTAGGGAGTCTAACTAAGTGCAATAATAATTACAGTAACTTTTGTGGGGTGGAATATTGAATTTTCTGTAATTCAACCTGTGCTGCCAGTCTTGGCGAGCAGGATTAGGATCCTGAGCATGGAAATAGCATCCTCCTGGGAGCCAGTCTTTTGCCCATCATGGCTCACAGATGATACAGTTCACACTTATTTATGTATAGAAATAATGCAAACAGCTCTTTTAAACACCAAATGAGTCTAATCACCCTCCAAGAGCTTTGTGCATTTGTGGCGAGTCTTTCATGTGACCCCTGCCTTCAGCTGAAATGCTCTCAATGGCAAGATTGCATCACCCCCATCCCACAGCCAGAATGTTCACATCACCAACCTCTCAAACTAGATTTTTTCATGGACAGCCATACTTTTTGTTCAGTTTAGTGTATATTTTTTTTAAGTGGTCATTGTGTCATAGGATGCAGAATTTTTTATACTTGTGTTGTTTTTAAATGCTGATAATAGGGATTTCTTGTGTGTCTGTCTGTCTCTGTATTTTCTTTCTATGCCTTAACACTATTTTGCATTCTAGGTGTTGAAGCACTAAAGCTGCCAGAAGAAGGAACAGTGCGGAGTGCTGGACATTTCCTCTCTAGCTTCATCCTTCTCAGCCGCGACGCAAGTATCGGGTGCCTCCAGCCTGTGGTTGCGCATAACACAGAAACTCTCCTTCGGACACTTATGTTCTGCATTTGTATGTATATATTTTTTTCTTCAGATAAGTTCTTAGTTTTCTTTGATTTGAGCTGATTGACATGGATTGATTTCATGAGTTTAAAAGTCTCTGACAGTAGAAAGGCTTTTCATGAGTTTAGTAGAAATTACTGACACAAGATTTAAGTTAATGCATCATCAGCCAGTAATGTTCCAACTTCAATTAAATTTTATCTACAATTATAGGTAATTCTCCACGACATAGCCTAAGCAGCTTCAGCGATGTTCTCAGCGCATTGTGCAAAATGTATGGGGATGACCTAACTCGCACCTTCAAGACGGTTCAGGCTGATGAGTCATTCCTCTCTCCACGGGTCACAGCACAGCACAAGGAGGAGTTTGCCAAGAAAGTCTTAAAGTGAGTGGTACCGTCTCTTTAATCTTGGGATAATGGGCCAGGAATAGAGGGGCAAAGTTAACAAGATAATGAATTCCAGCTTTCCTGCCTACACAACACAACCTAGTACTGATATGTGCTTCATGTCATGTGTGTACTCCTGAGTTTAGCTTTGGCAAATTGGCAAAAAATGAGGGCCTGTAACTCCTAAACCCAATGCTGCCAAGAATGATATGGATGTCCATGCCATGCCCACTTAAATCTAGCTTATTGATTGTATCTATATTTATACAGCCTCACAAGTGCTTATACACCAAAGAGACTATCACTAGTCTAACCCCATTCCTTGATTATGGAGTTGTTTCGTTTGATTTGATATAGCTAATAGTATTGACAATAACACTGTATCATATTGTTAACCCTCGCAATTTAGATGATGTGACCAGATACTCATGAAAAACATTTGACATGAGTGCTGGGTGACATGAACTTGCTGAGGGCTGGAGTGTACAACACTTGAAGAGGGTGATTAGAATGAGTCAGTATTTCCATCAATAAATGAGTGTGAAATATACCATCTGTGAGCAATGATAGGAAGAGCTCCAACTTCAGGGAGGATGTTTTTCCAATGTTTGGGATCCTACACCTGTCAGTGGTGCAGGTTGTATTACAGAAATTGAATATTACAGAAAAATATATAAATTACACAAAAACAAAATGCAGCTCAATGTTATTATTGCACAGAGTTATGCACTACCTTGAGAGATGATATGGAGTTGGTGCAAGGAAAACCGTCTATTTCCATCTGGTTACAGCATATCAAATGACAAATATAGGTGTTGGAAAATGCCAAAAAATTTAAAGCACTTATGCAGAAAGAGAGAAAATAACCTTAAAAAGGGGAGGCATGGAGTCCTGCCAAGCACATGAATATTCATGTTAAGCCACACACATTAGCTGCTCAACTAAACCTAGTGCTCAGATTTTGGGGTATGTGCAGCAAAGCTTCTGGATCCAAAGTTAATGATAATAATAAAACATCAACATTAATAATGAAGAAATAAATAAGGAAGGGGAAAATCAGATGAGTTCATGGAGACTACTAATCGTCTCCTTGGCGGCGGAGCACTTGTGGAACCATATATTTGTAGATACATTTCACAAAGCAATAACACAATGAACATCACATTTTCCCAGCTGCACAAGGTTGATGACCATGAACAACTGTCTAATACACACATGTTAAAAGCAGTCTTGATTGCTTGTGGAATGGTGGTACATAGTACCTGGAAAGGAGTCTAGACATTCAATGGCTGTCACCTGTTAGCAGTAGTATAATTTTTCTGTAACATCTGTAAACATCACTTAGGTGAATTTGCTTCTCTGCTTCATATATGAAATATCAATATATATATCATATATATCAAGGGCAGTTGTGTGGACAATGTCTTGAGGAAAGTACCTGTTACTATGGAATTAGGTATTGATATTGCAGTTACTTCTTTTTAGAGTACATGTAATTGCATGCCTCTTTTTTCTTTTTTTTTCTTTTTTTGATAGAGAGAGAATTAAGGAATATAATATCCTTGAGTAATTATTGCTTTGCCCAGAACACATTAGGTAGTTGTGTGACAGTGATATTTTCTTTTACAGGAACAGAGGCAGCAAGCGCAGAATTCTAGAGGCAGTTACTGATTTAGCTCTGATTGGAAGAGGTCTGGCTGGGACTGACTATGGGGCTCAAACCAGAGGCTTCCACTGACTATAGGCTGTCCCTTTGCATCTCTGAAAACTGAGCGCATTCTGCAAGCAGCTTAAGCCAGAGTAGGATTGTTTGACTCAGGAGTATGCATCTTGTATAAAGGTCACCCATATGCATTGAGATGGAGGGCAGCAATCACTTCAGCAGCTATGGCGTTAATTCTTCTCCTTTTTTCTTTCTTGTTGACATTCACTCTCCACCCTCTGATATTTTATTTTTTATCTTATATTGTCTCTCATGGTTGTTTCTTTCCTCATGGCTGTCAGCTTGGAGAAGGAAAGGTGTATAGTGTATACATGTAATTAAGGCATCCCACTATCCCAGTTATTATCATTGGCATGGAATGCTTCTGAGAAGATCTTCCTTGGCCAGTCAGAAGAAGAAAAATATTTTTGACAATCTGTCCAATATGGCGTTGATCACTGTATTTGACGCGGATTGTTACAGAAATGGAAGTGGAAATATTAAGATTTCTCTTTTTTCCTCATCACTTTACAGAGCTTTGAATGTTATATATTCCAAAGCAGGACATAGTAATTTTTGCACATAAAACTAGATATTTATTTTTGTTGTCAGATCAATACAGTGTAGATTCCATGTGGCAAAAAGTAATGCCTCCCACAGTATTATCCTTGTGTGTGTGTGCATTTCCCCACGTATAGCATATAGAGTGGGACAATTTATCAGGCTCGCTTGCAAACCCAGCTGAGCTTCGGATGCATGTTATATCCCTCCGGTCATCCTGAAGTGCGAGCCCTGCAATGGACAGAAATATTATACAATTCCTAATTTTGAATGCTGCGACCTTGCATCAGGGTTAAGTAGCAAAAGGTATGAACCTCGTTAGAAAAAAAAACAGTGATAAATTTTACCATTGGTTTACAATCGTAACATAAGCATCATAATCTCCATTCCACTTCTCTTGTATCTTTGTATGTCCCGATATACTTGTTTATAGTCCACAGTCTACTGGTTTTGATTGAAATAAATAGCTGTATGATTAGGTTTTGTGAAAAAGAAAGAAAAGGAAAGCATTAAAGAGGTTAAGATATTAAAATTGGTAGGAGTTACTTTTGATAGTACCCCACTGGAGGACAGCAGCAAAGACTTTGATTTATCTTGCATCTCTGACTCAACTATTATGTCAGAGCCAATTAGGACCTACCGATATAAGAGAGAGATAACAAAGCGACATTTAGTTGGAAAATAAGTACAGAGATCTCTTTGTTTTCGGTATATGGTATATTTTTGTGTATTTGATTTTACTGTTTTTTATTCTTTTTATTATAGTAGAGGAAAAGGTGATACTACAAGTGTTATGATTCAAAGACTCCAGTTTTCATATTAATGTTTTGGACTTACCAATTTTTTATATGGTTTTAGAATCGGTGGTGTTGAACATGAACATATACATATTTATATATACTGGATATATATACAGTGTAAGGCATGGAAAAGTTGTTATTATTTGTTTAAAAAATCTTTTGGAAAGATACAGGTGATATTATACTTAACCAGTTTGAATAGGCTTCTAAGGGAGTTGTGATGTTGTACAAATATTTGATTCTCCACCTTAAAATACAGTCCTAAGTATATTTTAGTCCTTACCATAAGCAGCCCTCGCATACCCATGCCTGTGTCAGTCAAAATGTGTTTTTTTCTCAATCTATTTACACAGTTTTTGCAGTTTGCCTCCTTCCATGTCCACATTTTTCCTGTACCTGCATTTTTTGCATTTTCCCAAGACTGACGGAGGTTCCAGTACTCAGTACTTTCCTCTTTTTATCCCAAAGATTTTATGGAGAATCATTTGTACACATGATAAGTCTTTTATTGGGATCGAGGGTGACTTCTGATGCCCCAGTTTGCTAAGCGATGTAGACGTTTTGAAGATATATATTTTTTGGCAATAACAGAATTTATGATCTCCCTCCAAGAAAATATTTGTGATGTATTAACTATTAAAAGATTTTTTTTACTTCTATGACTTTTGTTCACATCATTTTATTATTATTTGCCTCATTCTCCTGTCCTTCCTCATCTTCCTCTTCTTTCTCTTTCTCTGTCTCTTTTTTCCTTTTTTCCCTTCTTTCTCCTCCTCCTCCTCCTTGTTATCCTCCTCCTCCTTCTCCTCCTTCTTGTTATCCCCCTCCTCCTCCTCCCTCCCCCTCTCCTCCTCCTCCTCCTTCTCCCCCTCCTCCTTCTCCTCCTTCTCATCCCCTTCCTTCTTTTCTTCTTCTTTCTTCTTCTTCTTCTTCTTCTTCTTCTTCTTCTTCTTCTTCTTCTTCTTCTTCTTCTTCTTCTTCTTCTTCTTCTTCTTCTTCTTCTTCTTCTTCTTCTTCTTCTTCCTCTCCTCCTCCTCCTCCTCTCCTCCTCCTCCTCCTCCTCCTCCTCCTCCTCCTCCTCCTCCTTTTCCTCCTGTCCCCCTCTTTTTCCTCCTCCTCTTCCTTTTTGCTATCCCCTCCACCTTGTTTTCTGCTTTCTCTCCTCCTCCTCCTCCTCCTCCTCCTCCTCCTCCTCTTCCTTCTTGTTATCCCCCAACTGTTTTCTGCTTTCTTCTCCTCTCTCCTACTTTTCCTCCTCCTCCTCCTCTTCCTCCTTCCCTCCTTTCCTTTTCTCCTCCACCCCCTCCTCTTCTTCCTCCTCCTCCTTTTCCTCTTTCTCCTCCTCCCCCTCCTCTTCTTCTTCCTCTTCCTCCCCCTCCTCTTCTCTTCCTCTTCCTCCTCCTCTTCCTCTCCTCCTCCTCCTCCTCCTCCTCCTCCTCCTCCTCCTCCTCCTCCTCCTCCTCCTCCTCCTCCTCCTCCTCCTCTTCTTCCTCTTCCTCCTCCTCCCTCCTTCCTCCTTGTTTGCATAATACACAAAGCTTTGAAAGATGACAAAAAAAAAAAAAAAATCACACGATTGAGTACTGCAGTAATGAGAAATATCTGTGCAGAAGCATTGCCACCCACTCAAAGGAGAGAAAATTCCAAGGCAAAAATTATTCTTTGCAATAACACTGGAGTGTGTGACGGTTTATCCCCTATTGACTCTAATGGTGAATGTCTGGCTTTGAGTGTCTGTTGTATGGGAGTCGCTCTTATACTGACTGAAAAAATTGAGTGCTCATATTGGAAATAGATGATCAGATCTCATGTTGATTGAGCAGTGAGATTTGTGCAATGTTGCAGACTTAGGGAATTTTGGAGAAAATAGAAGGTAATGAATATTTGTTTTTAATGTATAAATACCATATTAGCCATTTGTTGACAATCTTGCATCAGAATACATGATAGTGACATACATGGCTTAAATGCTGTTGATGATTACATTTTTAAAAACAACTACCTTTTTAAATTTGTAAAAAGAAATATGCTTTATATCATATAATTCCGAGACAGAAGAACAGCCAGATTTTTTGGCTTAAATAGTATGAAAGATTTTTTTCTTCAAAACTTAGATTGTTTTTATGTTTTGAAAAGAATTAGAGGAAATGAAATTAATTGGCTTCTGTAGCTTATATCCTCTCATCATTATTTTCTTCTTATATATAATCCTAAAGGCATTTGACGTTTTTTATTTTTTAATATTTTATTTTATATTGGCGTGATTATCTTTCAATTTCTTTTGAAGTTATCTTGTTACTCTACATCCACCAACATATTCTATCATTATTATTGATGTATCTACAAAGGTGCTATGATTACATTCAAGGTATATGGTCATGTATACAGAAATATCAAAGCATAATCTACACAGTCTGTTTTCCCACTCCCTCCATCATCATTTTCTTCTTCATGCTTGTACTCATACTCTTCTTACTCCTCCTACATTTTTCTCTCCTCTGTCTGCTTTTTTCTTTATCTTCTCCCTCCTCCTCCTCCATCTCCCTTTTTCTTTCCTTTTTCCTCTTTCTCTGCTTCTGTGTTGGTCTTCCTGTGCTGATCTAGTATTATTCTTTCCATTTTCTTCTTCCTGTTGTCTCCTTTTCCTTCCCCATTCAATTCTCTTTCCCTTTCACACCTCTGTCTTCAGAATACTTGATGAGGTGAAAGGTCCTGTGCCAATCTTATTAGTACCATTGTAATTATTATCAGAATTTAACTGTTCTCTCTGTGAATAATTGTTCATACTGATCATGTTTTTATGGTTTCAGTAAAGATCAGATTTATCTTGTATATAGGTCTTTCCAACACTGTACACTTATGTTTTCAGTTAATTGACATGTATGTTTCTTCTATCATTATCAAGGGGTGACATCCAGATATTGGTATCCATTAATACATACTCATACCATTAGTAAAGGTTGTTGAACTTATAATAGTTGTAGGTGTTTTGTCCATTATGACTGATCATAGAAGAAACTGTGATCTGTAAGATAGTTATTTCAATTAATTCATTGTGAAGTTGCCTTTTCATTGTATCCATATAAAATATTTAAGCTTTCTACCATCTTGTAATTGTTGCCATATATTTTCACTGTTAGCTTTAGGGACTTGACTTGCAGGCAGGTGATGTTCCCTTCGGACGACTCTCTCTCAGCCTAGCTGGCTTCCATGGCATTTCTCTTGTTGTCATTACTCACGGGATTGGCACAGTTCTTGTTTAGACCTTGAATTTGTACTGGTATTTTTTCTTTCTTTCATTGTTCTTTATCTTTTCACCCCAACATATTTGTTTTGTTTTACATTGAGTATGATTGGACTTTTATTACTTATCTTGACATTACAGTTGACATCATAATTGTTGATTGTTCATTATCATAATAACCAGTATTTATCATCATTATTATAATTATCATTATTATTATTATTACTTTTTTATTGATAGTATTATTGTTATTTCTAGTTAGATCATTTACAGTATTTTTATATAATTCTTTTACTTAGTATTATTGCAGTTACTAGTTGCTGCTTTTTTGTTGTTGATATACCTATTGTAATTTTATTTATTTACCATAACCAGTCTCATACTTTTCTTGTTTTGTCTTTCCCCTGTAGCTATAATTGTGAATATTGAGTAGCAGATTACTTTTTCATGTTTTTTTTTCTTCTTGAGCTTCATAAATCTCTCATTTATTTCTTTCCATGTTATCAGCAGCACGAACAACATTCTAACTTCCACTGGGGATTATTCACCTTCACTCTTTGTTACCCTGTACTTCCCCTTTGCAGCAGCAGTTGCATTAATATACCTATATGTCTACATGTGCATACACTTTTTTGTATGTGCCATATCTACTGTTTGCTTTACTATATTTAATGTAATAGGTATAGGTATTACCTCTCTCTTTATTTAGTTTTTTTTTCACTATTTAATTGCCCTTTTTTATTTGCTTTTGGCTTATTTATTCTCTGCTGTGAATTATAGTACAAATTAAGAGTCCAGATGATTATTGCCTTTTTCCTTTAATTAGATTTTTATGTTTGCCTGTATGTGATCCCAATGTTCGTAATTAATTTAAATTCTCTCTCTCTCTCTCTCTCTCTCTCTCTCTCTCTCTCTCTCTCTCTCTCTCTCTCTCTCTCTCTCTCTCTCTCTCTCTCTCTCTCTCTCTCTCTCTCTCTCTCTCTCTCTCTCTCTCTCTCTCTCTCTCTCTCTCTCTCTCTCTCTCTCTCTCTCTCTCTCTCTCTTTCTCTCTTTCTTCTCTCTCTCTCTCTTTCTTTCTCTTTCTCTTCTTTCTTTCTCTCTTTCTCTCTTTTCTCTCTTTCTTTCTCTTTCTTCTTTCTTTCTTTCTTTCTTTCTTTCTTTCTTTCTTTCTTTCTTTCTTTCTTCTTTCTTTCTTTCTTTCTTTCTTTCTTTCTTTCTTTCTTTCTTTCTTTCTTTCTTTCTTTCTTTCTTTCTTTCTTTCTTTCTTTCTTTCTTTCTTTCTTTCTCTCTTTCTTTTGCCAGTGTAGAGAGATTTCCAATTTCTGACAATATTGACTGCCTTATCCAACCTTCAGTCATCTTAGTGTTTAGTGCTTGGCTATAGTCAAATTGTATGTCTTCTGACACTATTGTTTTGCCTTTTGTTATTATTCTTATGGCAGATAGCAAATACTGACTGTGTTCTTTGGTCATGTTCGTCACCTTTGGGAGGGAATGAATTTTGAAGTTGGACAACAAATCTTCACCATAAAGTGGAAGCTGGGAAGTAATATCATTTTGCTTCCAGTTTAGTTGAGGAAATGTATTTTAGATGGTATATTAGAAAATGCAGCTTGTACTGTTGGTGACAAGTAGGGCATTGGGAACATTTGGAGGCACTGCTACTGAGGTTGGTTAGTTTCTTTGAGAACCATTTTTCTCTCTTTCCTTTGTACATGTTAAGACTACAAAATGTTTTTGTTTTGAAATAGGCTCTTCTCTAACTTATGTTTTTTTCTCCATGCAAGAATCACAAGTAATCATACCAATCACATACATTTCTATCATCCATGTTCAAATTGGTGAAATATTTTAAAAGGTTAAATAAATACAACATTAATAATCATAAGCATGGAGTAAAAGGTGTGAATATGCATTCATCTGCCATGTATTTGAGGTTTTAAATTTTATAATGTGGAATAAACTGCTCAAAGTTGTATATTTAAATATTAGAAAATGTCTTTCAGACTTGTCTGTTATGTAAGATATATGTGCAATGATTTTGTAGCAAATGTTCTAGATGTTTTAAGATATTGTCAAATATGCAAGGAAGGGCCATCTTTCCACAGCCACATCTATGAAAGTTCACCTCTGTAGGATTTCTGTGGCATTAAGCCGTTTCCATTCCTGATTGCCATAGCTAAGTATAATTGGAGTGGAAAATGAAAATGCTGTGTTATAAATTGAAGCTAATGGTTAAAAAGCAGAAGGAACCACATTACTTTCTCCCAAAGGGAAGGAAGTGGGTGTAATTAAAGTGGAATAAGGAACATGTGATTTCGATCACTGTGTATGTAGGTGGTCTGTTTTATCATATTTTTACCATATATCCTAAATGACTGGAGAGCAACTATGACATCTAGTCTCTCTGG